GGGAAGTGGTGCAGCCTTAGATGCAACTGTGCAGCAGGGGTGAGGGGCAACAGCTGGCTTGGTTCGACTTGGGGAATTTCTCTGGAGGCACAGGCACCCTGCCCACTTAGAGACCCTGGCTGGCTGCCACCCCAGGGTGGAGTTGGGGTGTCGTTCTGAGGGCTTAGGCCAGGCCCTCTTCCACAAAAATGGGATGGTCAAAATCTGTGCCTTTAGGGTTATTGCTTCACTTGGGTTTGTCACCAAAGGCTTTTTCCTAGGGACATAGGAAAAGAGAAAATTAGTGCCCAGAAGCCTGCAGCTGCCCAGGATTCTCCATGTTAGAGAGAACATCCCCACCCCCACCCCTGGGAACCACTCCGGTCTCTTCTGGCAAAACCAGCTCTCCCCCACCAGGGATGGCCTCACCTTTTTTTGTGTGCTGCTCCCCTCTTTACCCTGAGAAATGAGTGATCCTGGTCTCAGGTGCAATCCCAATACCCCAGTGCTATGCCACCATCCAGTTACCTCACTGGCTTCTGCACAGAGAAGGATGAGGCCCAGGAATGAACATGACACTCAGTGTCAAAAGACATAGATTCAAGGCTGTGTGATCTTCAGCAATGAAAACACCAGCTTTATGGTCCTTGGCCTTAGAATAAGGATAATGTCAGTTTCTGTCACCAGAGTTTCAGGAGCATCAAATGAGACATCTGCCAGAAGAGCTCTGACATTAAGAAGCCAGCAAGTTTACCTTCTTGTCTGGTTTGCCCCCATTTACTGCCCTTCTTCCTAGAGTCCTGATTTCTTTTGCCCTCACTTCCCTCTAGCCTTCTGCTCCCTGTGCATGCCTATTTCCTTCCTTTTCCACCTGGGCACAGGGTACAGTGTGTAAGACTGAGTCTAAGGAAAATGGGGTGAAATGGAACAGTTCAGTGGCTGAGAACCTATCTCAAACTCTTTCAGTTAATGGTCTCAGTCAGTGTCTCCTGGGCTTTAGATCAGACAGATCTACCAGCAGTGTGTGCTGGGTCTGTCCTGTGAGCAGCTGGAAAATCAAGGCTAAATTTAGGAGAGTAATGTGGCAGCAGGCACAGCCTGCTGGTGAGGTGTGGGGCAAACTGGAGAGAGGCAGCCCTCCACCTTGTCCCCTAGGGCAGGGGTCCTGGCTCCCTGAAGACCCTGCACAGCCCCAAGCCGAGTCCCCTCCGAGAGGGGTACCCGCTGAGAGGACTTGGGTGAAACTCAAGTATGTGTGGGAAGGCTGAGGATCAGAAAAATATGAGTGGCAGTCTGGGAACTCAAGGGAGGAAGGTGAGGGAGAGACAGAAGGAAAAGAGAGAAGGGGCCGGGGATTTAGCTCAATGGTGCGGTGCCTGCCTGGCAAGCACAAGGTCCTGAGTTTGCTTCTCAGTAAAAAGAGAGAGAGAGAGAGAGAGAGAGAGAGAGAGAGAGAGAGAGAGAGAGAGACAAGGAGGGTGCCTAGACCCTAGTCAGCTCCCAGGAAGCAACCAGGAGTGAGACGTGTCACAAAAGCTGA